CCCCCCCACCGTGAAACACAAAAAGCTTTGGCACAAATTTGTAAAATGACAGTCTATATTACCTGAAAAAAGGAATTTTTGTATCACGGGGGGGGGGGGGGGGGGGGGGGGGGGGGGGGGGGGGGGGGGGGGGGGAGATGTTTTAAAAATATTTTCCGTTTTCCATTGATTTCTATAGTGAAAAACTCAAGTTTTACCAAATAGAGTTATCTCTCTTTGGTATCCAAAAAAGTAACGTTTTATTAAAATTCATATAAATATCTATAAAAATTTTGAAAATCATTCGAATATGTTAACTTTTGAGAATTGACAAAGAGGTAGGCGGGAGAACAATACTATCGTTCGTGGTTCTTTTTCTGCCTTATGTTTTCCTAAATCTCCTTTCTGTCATTTATTTATTTCCTCTTCTTCCTATAATCCGTCCCAAAGTCACTCGCATTCTTATCTTTCATTTCTGTCGCCCTCCATTAGTATCAGTGCTTTCGTTATGAGAGTAAGTTCATTTACATTAATTGTAACTTCGAATTTCCCGCTAAAACTTAAAACGAGAACTCTTCAGTAGAAGGAGATTGAATTGTCAATATTGGCGCGTTGTGATATTTTGCTCCTGCAACTGCAACAGCAAAAGACGAGGACTAAAAATGAAGTATAATGATATGGTAAACATAACCCTGATGAAACAAGAATATCAGCCGTCTCTTTTAAAGTCATCATTTCGTAAGTTCTATGGTCGATACAAATGATGTTGTCCTTGGCTAACTGCATTGATGTGGATGCAGGGATTTTCCAATTCTTCTTCTTCTTCCCATACAAGTTTACTCTTACAAGAGCGTTGAACTCGCAATTTAGCGACATTTTATCACTATAATTGGGAAATTTTATATATGATCTTTTTTAAGAAATAAACACCAAAACAGTCTAGACGAACTCCAAAAACGGCGTGAACTCCAAAAAAGAAGTCTTTGGCTCCGTCATGCATTGCGGCAAAATGGCTTCCGATGTAAACAAACGATGGATTGCCGTTCGCTTTCTCCACAAATACGACCGAATAATGGCTGTATTTAGAAAAATGTGACTGGATTTTATTTTTTGTTGAATAAATAATTGTGCTCATTAAATTATTTAGTGGTTATTGACTTATTTATCGCTCAGTTTTCTTGCATAATAGTGATTTGGGATATACGACACCGGATTCAATAAAGTCGGTAAGAATTAATTTTCTAACTTAATTTATTGTCCCCTTGATTTAAATTTTATGCCATTCCTACTATAAAGATGCTTAAATTTTACTTCTAAGACACTTAGATAATTTTTTTTTCAATGAAAAACCGCACAATTTTTGCGGCGGAGCAGAGATATTAACAGGTTCAATTTGAGAAGGCTTTTTTACCGTAATTTTAAAAGAATGATTTTTTAAAGTTCTTTAACTGATAGATTATAATTCTAAAAATGTTTTCATGATTATATCTACACTCATATGTAATAACATTAGGTAAATAGCGATGGCGATAACTAACGTTCTCAATTCAGATGTCATACAGGATTATATGACGAAATAATATTACAAATGGGTAAAAATTCGGCCAATGTTTAACCGTTACAACATATATATTATATTGTTCAATTTTACACATTTTCCCCTTTTATTATATTTAATTCCTAAACGTTAATTTTTCTTTGTATTTGATCTAACTTGAAACATGAACTTTCTTCAAAAAAGCAACGGAGGAAATGGATTCTCATGTAACTGTCACCTGATCCACTCTTATTTATGACTAAAACCATCAATTCAGTACTTTTTTAATTACTGGTAAGATGTATTTACAATGCAGTTGCTCATTGCTGATCTAAACATGCTGAAATTCATTTGTACACGATAGACATGAAAGACAGAGGAAATTCGAACTGAAAATTCACCAGCGTTCCTTACTTACAAAAAAACTTCTAAAATCAGTAAAAGTAGTTCTAACATGAATAACTTAGTCACTATAAACAAATTATCAACCACAGAGATGTTTTCATAAGATTAAGACTGTTTAATTTGTATTTTGTATCCTACTTGTACGATGTCTGGCTGAACCTATCAGTTGGTCAACTTTGACTTGATATTAAAAACTATTTGCACATGAAATCAAAATTCTAACAAATACGTTCTCTAAAAACATTTATTATCAATCATTTCTGAGAACTTACATTATTGTAAGGTAATCCAATTTTTTGCAAAAACACTTTTTATAAGAGCCCACTTTTCACGATTTTTCACCGTTTTTTGATATAACTGCGCATGCGTGGACTCGTTTTTTGGAGTCTTTTCTGGACTGAAATTCTCACTTCCGTTAACGCCGTTTTTGGAGTTCGTCTAGACTGCAAAATGAATAAAATTGATGTTTTACATCCATGGGTATTTTAGAAATATGAATCATTATAATAAAGTTTTACACAATTTCCAAACCTGACCATGTTTGTATGATCAAGTTCACTTCTAAAGTTCTTCTGCATTCCAAAATTGAACATATGCAGGGTTTGACATTAAGCTTTTGGAATACTAGACCAGCCGGGCTACTCTGGCCAATATTTACTAGCCCTGACCCTTCAACCACTAGCCCTGACCAAACTTGCGATAAAAATATTTTAAGTACAAACTATTGAAAAATTGTGAATTAACTTTTATAATATAATTATGTAATTGTATTGGTTTATCTTTACCAATGTAATCCATATTTAAATAACGACATTTTCCCGCACACATGTCAACATCAAACCTACATGTAGGTCATATAATGTTATATGGGGCTTGTCGTTTAAGTTCTAACTGATTCAATTTGTATACAATATTAATATTGAAATTAACAATTTGATAACCCCAACTGCTGCATCTACATGTCCAGTTACTTGTAATATTATATCAGATATTTACATGTGTGTGTATGTGTGTTTATGTTTGTATATGTTTACTATAACCTTTCTTTTAGAACTTTCTATCTTGTTATTGTAAGAAACCTTTATGCCTTCTGGGCCCAAAATTGGAAATAAAATTATCTTATCTTATCTTATCTTATTGATACCATTACAATATATTTAAAGAATTTACGTTTAGTAAGAATACTGTTATTATTATGATTTTATAATTGCCATTTTCAAGGGTTACCGATGCTGTAAACATGAATCTTTTGACAATCATTAAACCACTCAGCCATTTCCACGAACGATAAAAAGCTTATTGTTTCTCTCAAGGAAAATGCCCACGTAGTTACGAATGCCTACAATGACTGTTGTTAATAATAGCGTTTCGGTCATGCTGTCTGTTACATATGTAGTTTTCTTTCTATGTATGTGACTAGAAACGTTTTAATTTTATTTTTCATTGACAATAAAGATCTTAGTTTACAAAAAATATAATAAGTTTATTTATTTATCTTACACGAACAGTCGGTCTAGTACACAGACATTTTACCCGACCGGACCCATCTTTTAGTAGACTCAGTCGGTCGGACGTGCCTTAATGTCAAACCCTGATATGCAGATCATTTTTGGGAATAAGGGAGGGGTTTTGCAATTGGGAATGGGGCCAATATTTGGCCCTACACGAGGTAGTAAAAAATCCCTGGGATGGGTTAATTTACTTCTAGGATTTTCATGTGAATCTCTGAATCATAACATCTCTTAAACATTCTCAATGTTTCCATGTGTTGAATCTCATTCATCCAAATTTTCATTTTTTTCTAATCATGCATCCTTTACTTTTATTAGCTTCTAATGCAAATATATTTCCGAAACTTTAGTTTTCAATAAAATCTTAAGCCTATTTACTATAGTTTTAAAGAAATTTTTATATATTTCTGTTTGCATATCAATAAAATGAGGACTGTAAATGGTTGCAGGTTTTCTAAAACAATCTACATTTAGAAAAATTTTTCTAGAACTTGGGGTTTTGTTTTGACATTAGTTAAAATGATAATATAAAACTATCTTTGATGTGTAAAGCATTGGAGAATACATATTTTCATAGTTAAACCTTTATTGAAGACAAATTAAATATTTTTTCTTGAAAATTTGGAGCATTATAAACAGGTTTTGGTACTGTGGTTTCATTAATTTGCATTGGCATCAATTTTCATGGATTTTGTAAAACAGATGTTTTTGAGGATACATAATTTCATGGATAAATTTAGCATTGCTTATACAAATGAATAACATATATTAATAATTTCTTAATTCAATGAACATCTTAATTTGTGGATCTGCTCAACTAACAAAATCTTCAAAAATTGGTGCTCAAGGACAATTGATAAAACCACAGTATCTGAGTTAAGCCCCCTAATTAATGTGTTTACAATGTTAATAAAATTAAATCCCAACCTCTCACTTCACTTCTATTCCATATCAATATTACAGGCAACAAACTTCAAAGTTTGTGTTTTACCAAACAATTTTTACTTTATCTATATCATTGTATTTAGGATCAACGTCAGCATGCGCCGATGTCCACCCGCGACAGTTGTACAGTGGGCGGGGCCGAACATCCTACAGGAGAGTTAGGTTAAATGTACACACCCTGGAGGTCGATATCACAGATAGCTCATCTGCAGTCAAGGCACCAATCAAAATCATCAAGTAAGGCTTAACCAAGTCAAGGCACCAATCAAAATCATCAAGTAAGACTTGACCCAGTCTAAGCACTAAGACTTAACCCAGTCAAGGCACCAATCAAAATCATCAAGTAAGACTTACCCAGTCAAGGCACCTATCAAAATCATCAAGTAAGACTTAACCAAGTCAAGGCACCAATCAAAATCATCAAGTAAGACTTAACCCAGTCAAGGCACCAATCAAAATCATCAAGTAAGGCTTAACCAAGTCAAGGCACCAATCAAAATCATCAAGTAAGACTTGACCCAGTCTAAGCACTAAGACTTAACCCAGTCAAGGCACCAATCAAAATCATCAAGTAAGACTTAACCAAGTCAAGGCACCTATCAAAATCATCAAGTAAGTCTTAACCCAGTCAAGGCACCAATCAAAATCATCAAGTAAGACTTAACCCAGTCAAGGCACCAATCAAAATCATCAAGTAAGATTTCACTCAGTCAAGCTTAAGGCACCAATCAAAATTGCCAACAAAGGCTTCAAATTCTGAAAGCAGGGCCCAATATTATATCCTTTTTTATTCTTACAAAGATGAGAAAAAAGATTAATATGTGTATGATAAGAAGTACCTGTACATTATAATTTATTAACTGTTTATCATAGATCTTTTTAAATTGCCGAAAGACTTTTTAAAAGAGAAGCCACCCTCTGATGAATATACTGTTGAACACTATATTTTGGTGACACCGTATTTTCAGGAGTTAGCTATTTGGAATTTATTAGCGAGACAAAATTTAAGCAAACTTTGGTTTCTGTTGTATATAAACCTTAATAATACAAATATACACAAGAATAAAATTTTTCGAGTGCAGACAGACTTGCATAATTACATGAAAAATAAAATTCTTACAAAATAACAAGTGATTTACAGTACTAGGAACATTTCTTTGAATAGCTGTGTTTTATTAGTTCACCTTAGCCGAAGGCTCAAGTGAGCTTTTCTGATAACATTTTGTTCGGCGTTTGTCTGTCTGTCTGTCTGTCTGTTTGTCTGTAAACTTTTCACATTTTTGACTTCTTCTCAAGAACCGCTGGGCCAATTTCAACCAAACTTGCCACAAAGTATCCTTGGGTGAAGAGGATTCAAGTTTGTTCAAATGAAGGGCTACGCCCTCATTCAAGGGGAGATAATTGGGAATTAATGAAAATTTTGTGGCATATTTTAAAAATCTTCTTCTCAAGAACCACTGTGCCAGGAAAGATGAAACTTATGGGGAAACATCCTCAGGTAGTGAAGATTCAAGTTTGTTCAAATCATGACCCCTGGGGGTAGGGCGGGGCCAAAATGGCCGACCAAAGTTTTACATAGAAATATATAGGAAAATTCTTTAAAAATCTTCTTCTCAAGAATGACAAAACCATAATTCATCATATTAATATGGGAGCATGCTCAGGTAGTGTAGATTCAAATTTGTTCAAATCATGACCCCCTGAGGTAGGTCAGTGCCAAAATGGCCGACCAAAGTTTTACATAAAATATATAGGAAAATTCTTTAAAAATCTTCCTCCCAAGAATGACAAAGCCATAAATCATCATATTGAATATATGGAAGCATGCTCAGGTAGTGTAGATTCAAGTCTGTTCAGATCATGACCCCCGGGGGTAGGGCGTGGCCAAAATGGCCGACCAAAGTTTTACATATAAAGATATAGGAAAATTCTTTAAACATCTTCTTCTCAAGAATGACAAAGCCATAATGCATCATATTTATATGGAAGCATGCTCAAATAGTGTAGATTCAATTTTGTTCAAATCATGACCCCCGGGGGTAGGGCGGGGCCAAAATGGCCGACCAAAGTTTTTAAAGATATATATATAGGAAAATTCTTTAAAAATCATTTTCTAAAAAATAGCAATTACATGATTGGTCATGGGACTACTTTTTGATTTAAACTAAAATAAAAAGCTATTTTCTACTTTTTCCTACCCTTAGTGCTCAGGTGAGCGATGTGGCCCATGTGCCTCTTGTATTGTAGTTATGGGACAGCTGGAGACAAGTTTGCTTATTCACCTCAGTGTACACCAATGGGGACCTTTAAGATCGACTTGACTGGTTCCCCATTTGTCGTCTCCGGGGATGTCCAGTGGACATGGGTCGGGACTTTTGTGTCCAGTACCGCACAGAATGGATCGGCATTCATCACCAACACGTGTAAGGGAACACTGCTTCTAAAGGAAAAACACTTGTAAAAGAAATTTTAAAGACTTGTATTATCGTTTGAACTATGAAATTCATACATGTATAATACAAATAGTGGAGAAATAAAGAAAATTTAATTATAGTGTTATAAATAATCCTTAAAACTCTTTTTACATACCTTATTTTTCAGCCAAGTCATCTTATCTTTATGCTCAATAAATTAGTATAATGTTCAGGTTGTTCTATTCAACACTATACATAAAAAATAAATATAGATGTATATATAATGAGAAATATGAACATTATGAAGGAAAACGTCTAAAATTAAATAAAAAACACTAATCAATGTTTATAACAAATAAACACACTTGCCTTTCTACTTACATTGGTTGTTAACTGTTTCAGCTTACATTGGTTGTTAACTGTTTCAGCTTTCATTTGTTATTGACTGTTTCAGCTTACTACAGTTGTTAACTGTTTCAGCATACATTGATTGTTAACTGTTTCAGTGCTCCAAGTCGCACTTACTTTTAGGTCGCTAAATGGCGACCTAAAATTTTTTTTGGTCGCCATTTCAGAATTTCTGGTCGCCATAAACAAATTTTTCACTCGCCATGATTAAAACATGTAAATAACACTATTAAAACAATGAACTAACTTCCACATATGTTATGTTTTTATCAAATCAAAGATTAATAATTACTGTGACTAGATATATCCACCCTTTGTACAGTACATTTACACAGAAGAACACAAATAATCTGATCCTAGAATTAGAGTTTAATCAAAATAAAATAAAACTTTGACAGTTGTTAAGACAGGACTTTGCCAATAATTGTTTATCATGTTTACCTGTTTGCTTACTACTACGTATCTTAACCTTTGCTCATGCAGTCATTATCAATGCCGCCAAAACACTTAATTGTGATATGCAAGCCATTGACCAAATGCTATAATAACAAAGTCACAGAAACTCTAGAAAGTTTACGACGTTTAGATGCCATTCTCTCAGAAACGTTATGTATATACGTTTCTGGTTCTATCTAACTTAACTATTACAGCATGCTGTCATAACATTACGTGATCTAAGTCCATACGACGCTTTGTAAAGTGTGTTAAAGTATTTATCTTCAAACGTTGTCTTGATAGAGAATCTTGAAAACGTAAATCTCGATCCCGATCATAAAAAGATGGACGTTGCCAGCCCAAATTTTCTCAGTCGCGAAAATGCGACTTAGTTTTAATTTCTAGTCGCAAAACCAATTTTTGGGTCGCAAATGTGACCGTTTTAGTCGCAACTTGGAGCACTGTGTTTCAGCTTACATGGGTTGTTAACTATTTCAGCTTACATTTGTTGTTAACTGTTTCAGCTTACATTAGTCGCTTATATTTCAGCTTACATTAGTCGCTAATATTTCAGCTTACATTGGTTGTTACATGTAACTGTTTCAGCTGACATTGGTTCTTAACTGTTTGAGCTTACATGGGTTGTTAACTGTTTCGGCTGACATTGGTTGCTAACTGTTTCAGCTTACATTGGTTATTGACTGTTTCAGCTGACATTGGTTGTTAACTGTTTGAGCTTACATTGGTTGTTAACTGTTTGAGCTTACATTGCTTGTTAATTGTTTCAGCTTACAGTGATTGTTAACTTTTTCTACTTACATTGGTTGTTAACTGTTTGAGCTTACATGGGTTGTTAACTGTTTCAGCTGACATTGGTTGCTAACTGTTCCAGCTGACATTGGTTATTGACTGCTTCAGCTGACATTGGTTGTTAACTGTTTGAGCTTACATGGGTTGTTAACTGTTTCAGATGACATTGGTTGCTAACTGTTTCAGCTGACATTGGTTATTGACTGTTTGAGCTTACATTGGTTGTTAACTGTTTGAGCTTACATTGGTTGTTAATTGTTTCAGCTTACAGTGATTGTTAACTTTTTCTACTTACATTGGTTGTTAACTGTTTCAGCGCACATTGGTTGTTAACTGTTTTAGCTTCCATTGATTGTTAACTGTTTGAGCTTACATGGGTTGTTAACTGTTTCAGCTTACATTGGTTGTTAACTATTTCATCTTACATTGGTTGTTAACTATTTCAGCTGACATTGGTTATTGACTATTTCAGCTGACATTGGTTGTTAACTATTTCAGCTTACATTGGTTGTTAACTATTTTAACGTACATGTGTTGTTTACTGTTTCAGCTTACATTGATTGTTAACTGTTTCAGTTTACATTGGTTGTTGACTTATTCAGCTTAATACATTGGTTGTTAACTATTTCAGCTTACATTGGTTGTTAATTATTTCTTCTTACTTGGGCTGTTAACTGTTTCAGCTTACATTGGTTGTTAATGTTTCAGCTTACATTTGTTAATGACTGTTTCAGCTTACATTGGTTGCTTTTTGGACCCGGATGAGCGACTTCTACCGAGTTCACACTTCAGTGGAGATTATGTCACCGTAGAGTACTGCATTCAGTTTTGTAACAGTAGAGGGTTTCCATTTGCTGGAATGAAGGTAGAGTCATCCCTAAGCTTTTACTTTAGTTTTTTTATGTGTTGATTTTTCTTCTTCATTTCCTTGCATATTTAAAATGCATATTCTAGTTATTTTTACCATATGATAATTTTAAAACCAAATATTATTTGAAAAAATGTTGATAAGTCAATTAAAGTTGCTTTAATCCTATTGGTTTACAGAACTCTAGCTACTGCTACTGTGGTGACAGCCATGATAGATATCCCAGGGCCAGGTCTGAGGCTGAGTGTAACTTACCTTGTGCAGGCCGAGTCTCCGAGAAGTGTGGAGGGAATGGAAGAGTATCCGTATATGATACAGGTAGATATATATTGTGTGGGATACAGAAAGATATAATATAGGATTTCAGAGTCTGCGTAGGTTTTGATTAGGCATTAAAATTGTATGAAGCAAGCAAAATGCTAACAGTTACTTATAAATTAAAAATATATCTTTCTGACATGTTTTTAGCTCACCTGAGTCGAAGGCTCAAGTGAGCTTTTCTGATCACATTTTGTCCGTCGTCCGTCCGTCCGTCTGTCTGTCGAGCTGTCTGTCCGTCTGTAAACTTTTTACATTTTCTACTTCTTCTCAAGAACCAATGGGCTAATTTTAACCAAACTTGGTACAAAGCATCCTTGGTTGAAGGGGAGTTTAAATTGTTAAAATGAAAGGCCAAGTCCCTTTACAAGGGGAGATAATCAAGAAAAGACAAAAATAGGGTGGGGTCACTATAAAATCTTCTTCTCAAGAACCACTGGGCCAGGAAAGCTGAAACTTATGTGGAAGCATCCTTGGGTAGTGTAGATATTAAATTGTTAAAATCATGACCCCCGGGGGAGGGGCGGGGCCACATGAGAGAATCCAAGTTTTACATAGAAATATATAGAACAAATCTTTAAAAATCTTCTTCTCAAGAACGACTGAGTCAGGAAAGCTGAAACTTATGTGGAAGCATCCTTGGATAGTGTAGATATTAAATTGTAAAAATCATGACTTTGGGTGGTAGGGCTGGGCCACAATAGGGAATCCAAGTTTTACATAGAAATATATAGAACAAATCTTTAAAAATCTTCTTCTCAAGAACCACTGGGCCAGGAAAGCTGAAACTTATTTGGAAGCATCCTTGGCTAGTGTTAATATTAAATTGTTAAAATCATGACCCCCGGGGTAGGGCGGGGCCACAATAGGGAATCCAAGTTTTACATAGAAATATATAGAACAAATCTTTAAAAATCTTCTTCTCAAGAACCACTGGGCCAGGAAAGCTGAAACTTATTTGGAAGCATCCTTGGGTAGTGTTAATATTAAATTGGTAAAATCATGACCCCCGGGGTAGGGCGGGGCCACAATAGGGAATCCAAGTTTTACATAGAAATATATAGAACAAATCTTTAAAAATCTTCTTCTCAAGAACCACTGGGCCAGGAAAGCTGAAACTTTTGTGGAAGCTTCCTGGGATAGTGTAGAAAATAAATTGAATTAAAATCATGACCCCCGGGGAAGGGCGGGGCCACAATAGGGAATCCAAGTTTTACATAGAAATATATAGAACAAATCTTTAAAAATCTTCTTCTCAAGAACCACTGGGCCAGGAAAGATGAAACTTATTTGGAAGCATCCTTGGGTAGTGTAGATATTAAATTGTTAATATCATGACCCCCTGGGGTAGGGCATGGCTACAATAGGGAATGCAATTTTTACATAGAAATATATAGAACAAATCTTTAAAAATCTTCTTCTCAAGAACTACTGGGCCAGGAAACTTATGTGGAAGCTTCCTGGGATAGTGTAGAAAATAAATTGAATTAAAATCATGACCCCCGGGGGAAGGGTGGGGCCACAATAGGGAATCCAAGTTTTACATAGAAAAATATAGAACAAATCTTTAAAAATCTTCTTCTCAAGAACCACTGGGCCAGGAAAGCTGAAACTTATGTGGAAGCTTCCTTGGGTGGTGTAAATATTAAATTGTAAAAATCATGACCCCCGGGGGAAGGGCGGGGCCACAATAGGGAATCCAAGTTTTACATAGGAATATATAGAACAAATCTTTAAAAATCTTCTTCTCAAGAACCACTGGGCCAGGAAAGCTGAAAGTTATATGGAAGCATCCTTGGGTAGTGTAGATATTAAATTTTTAAAATTATAAAACGGAAGGGGGTAGTGGGGCATGATAAGTATAGCAAGAGGGGGAATCTGATAAGAAAGCGATGTGGCCCATTGGCCTCTTGTCTTCTTTTGCTTGATAATATTAAGACAATTTCTTTTTTTCAGGAGTTCCCAAGGCTATCGAGGGAAGATGAGTTTATAAGATACAAGATTTATAATTATAATTAGATATTGATTTTTTCAGGAGTTCCCCAGGCTATTGAGGGAAGATGACTTTATAAGATACAAGATTTATAATTAAAATTAGATATTGATTTTTTCAGGAGTTCCCCAGGCTATTGAGGGAAGATGAGTTTATAAGATACAAGGTTTATAATTACAGTCAAAACTGCCATAGCGACCCACTGTATTAAGCGACTCACTGTCACATGTGACCGTAAAAATTCCCCCCAATGCTTTTCCCTATATATTCTACCTGTATTAAACTACCACCTGTCTAACGCGATCAACGACCATGATTTTCCTAACCAATTTTAGTAATAATAAGCAAATTTACCTGAATTTAAACTACATAATTTTCCGATTCCTACTTTCGATTTCGGTCGAACATGTTTCGTTTTTGGTTCAAACAACTACAGACACGCTTTTATTTCATTTAATAATTATTTAATGCAAGTTTTACAAATAAAACAGCATTTCAAAATGAATATTTTTACTTACGCTTTGATATTTATTGAATAAACATTACAATCTTAAACATAAACATCACGTTTTTCTGTCCAGAAATAGACCTTCGAGGTCGATCCCGATGTCATTTCATGCTATAAGGATAAATGGATATTTAGCTATAAAACCTGCCTGTTTAACTTTAATTAACAAGTAACTAAATCATAGATGTTTATTTAAGTGCATTGTGTCAACAATGGGTATGTAAACACACGCTATCTAGCACCCACACCAAGTGATAATTGAAGTGATTTAAATACCTGGTCACAAACAGGCAATTAGACACGGTAGTTAAGTAATGAAAAAAAAAAATTAATTAGGTTAAATAAATATTTCAGTCATAAATATAATTTAATTTGATACAAAGTGCATAACAAAAATCATGATACAGTTTTTATTCTTAGTAATATGCAAAACATACGAAGTTATATGTATAGGCTATCATGTAAAAAAAAATATTAGGGGGAAAAAAACTGCAGCATTTTTATACTGAATGAAAAAATATTAATATTTTCAGATATTCACAATTTCTCCCAATATTCAAACGACTCGTGCGGATCAAGAAATTTTTATTTCCTAAACAGGACAATTCTAAAAGCGTTTTAGAGTTAAGAGTTATACCTATTTAAAAAGAGTGGAAATAAACATAAGGTGTTATGAAATACATTCAACATACACATGTGATATTTTTAGCATCGTATATTTGAACACTGCTGAAAATAAGCAAACTGTATTAAGAGACCACCTGTCATATGTGACCTTTTTTCCTTTCTCCGTTGGAAGGTCTCTTAATACAGGTTTGACTGTATAATTGGATATTGATTTTTTCAGGAGTTCCCCCAGGCTATTGAGGGAAGATGAGTTTATAAGATACAAGATTTATAATTATAATTAGATGTTGATTTTTTCAGGAGTTCCCCAGGCTATTGAAGGAAGACATTGAGTTTATAATTAGATGTTGATTTTTTCAGGAGTTCCCTACGCTATTAAGGGAAGATGAGTTTATAATTAGATGTTGATTTTTTCAGGGGTTCCCCAGGCTATTGAGGGAAGATGTGGGGGATATCCAGGGAGTTGTTTTCCTGCCCTGAAGTCTGATCCGAGTGTTCCTAAGCTACAACTGTCACTGATTCGCACACAGCCTTGCCTACAGCCGTAATGTATCAGATAATTTATCTCATCCATAAAGTATCTCAGGCGTAATGTATTGGATTATGTAAGATTATATAATATGTAAGGTTGTGATATTTTATATGATGTAGGTCCAGTCCCTGTAAGAATGAGGGGGCGTGTGTTGCTGTCGGTGGGCGGGGCTACAGATGTCAGTGTTGTAATATTTCATTGTTTTCTGTGATGTAGATCCAGTCCCTGTAAGAATGAGGGGGTGTGTGTTGCTGTCGGTGGGCGGGGCTACAGATGTCAGTGTTGTAATAAACCATTATTTTGTATGATGTAGATCCAGTCCCTGTAAGAATGAGGGGGCGTGTGTTGCTGTCGGTGGGCGGGGATACAGATGTCAGTGTTGTAATAAACCATTATTTTGTATGATGTAGATCCAGTCCCTGTAAGAATGAGGGGGCGTGTGTTGCTGTCGGTGGGCGGGGCTACAGATGTCAGTGTTGTAATAAACCATTATTTTGTATGATGTAGGTCCAGTCCCTGTAAGAATGAGGGGGTGTGTGTTGCTGTTGGTGGGCGGGGATACAGATGTTTGTGTGTAATATTTCACTGTTTTCTGTGATGTAGATCCATTCCCTGTAAGAATGAGGGGGTGTGTGTTGCTGTCGGTGGGCGGGGCTACAGATGTCAGTGTTGTAATAAACCATTATTTTGTATGATGTAGATCTAGTCCTTGTAAGAATGAGGGTGTGTGTGTTGCTGTTGGTGGGCGGGGCTACAGATGTCAGTGTTGTAATAAACCATTATTTTGTATGATTTAGACCCAGTCCCTGTAAGAATGAGGGGGTGTGTGTTGCTGTTGGTGGGCGGGGCTACAGATGTCAGTGTTGTAATAAACCATTATTTTGTATGATTTAGATCCAGTCCCTGTAAGAATGAGGGGGCGTGTGTTGCTGTTGGTGGGCGGGGCTACAGATGTAAGTGTTGTAATAAACCATTGTTTTCTGTGATGTAGATCCAGTCCCTGTAAGAATGAGGGGGTGTGTGTTGCTGTCGGTGGGCGGGGCTACAGATGTCAGTGTTGTAATATTTCATTGTTTTCTGTGATGTAGATCCAGTCCCTGTAAGAATGAGGGGGCGTGTGTTGCTGTCGGTGGGCGGGGCTACAGATGTCAGTGTTGTAATAAACCATTATTTTGTATGATTTAGATCCAGTCCCTGTAAGAATGAGGGGGCGTGTGTTGCTGTCGGTGGGCGGGGCTACAGATGTCAGTGTTGTAATAAACCATTGTTTCTGTGATGTAGATCCAGTCCCTGTAAGAATGAGGGGGCGTGTGTTGCTGTCGGTGGGCGGGGCTACAGATGTCAGTGTCATAATAAAACATTGTTTTGTATGATGTAGATCCAGTCCCTGTAAGAATGAGGGGGTGTGTGTTGCTGTCGGTGGGCGGGGCTACAGATGTCAGTGTTATGAAGGCTACAGTGGATACAATTGTGAACTTCAAAATGGTAAGAATAAAAATGTGTTTCAGAATATATATTTTACTGGTACTCTATAATATATTTTAAGTATTTTCTTGGATGATTAAGAATAAGTCCACCGGTTTACTGGTTCTCAGTGTTAATGCTGTGATATTTTTTACAGAGACAGTCGTGTTCGCCGCTGTTGGTTGTCCAGCTGGGTACCAGGCAGAGAAGTGTGTGTGTAGAGATGACAATTGTGCCGGGGCCCGCTTTAATGGAGATGTCTGTCAAACACAGCAAGGCTCAGTAAGACCTGGCATAGGGGCCATAGACAAGCTCATTTTTGATCTCAGTCTCACTTTTCCATTAATATATTCCTGTTGTTGAAGTGTGACAGTGATCATAAGTGGGATTGTCTAAGTTTTATGGTCCCAAAGCCAGATTTCTCTTGGCTGTTTTATTGTACTGAAGTTATGTTTTTACAGCCTAATTTCATGGTGCAATAGGTATACAGCAGAGATTAGTTTATAAGACTTGCTTTGTAGTACTGTATTAGTGTATAGTTATTTTCCTACTAAAAATGTTTTGCAAACCCCACAAGTCCAAAAATATTATCTTAGGCCCAATTTACACAGTGGTCACTGACAGCAGGATTTAGTGATATAACGGTGAAATTCATGTTAGACCCTACATTTCCTGACACATTTTTAAAGTACAGTAGTGTACATGTTTTTTTACCAGGTAGGGTTTAATGGACAAAGGATATAAAATTCAAGTTTCTCTTTCAGCCTAAGGTGACCTGCAGACCCAGTAGTTCAGCCCATGTGATTTTGTTCAATGTGGACGGTAACCAGGGACAACAGTCTATTTCCTGTCCAGTGGGAGCGGATCTAGTGGGGTGTTCCTACTGGGATAAGTAAGATACATTCAACTTACTTCTGGTCAGCTTGCTAAATGACCAATCTATGGAGTGAAGATCACTGAATCTCCTTAAAACAGTCTGTTTCAAAGATTTTATTATCTATTGAGTGATCTGTACATATGTAGAAAAAAAAAAACGTGCTGAAAACCTTTTAGTTTGAATTTTATGTTTGGTTGACCTTTACCTTGACCTTTGACATCAGCATTTTTAGTTCAAATGGGTTCAATTTGTTTTATTAACAAAATAACACTGTTTATAGTTGAATGATTATTTAAAAAAAAAATTAACATGACAACTTTATGTTTTGCTTGACAACATAAATTAAAGTGTACATCTTCCTAAAATGTGAAACTAAATGGTGTCCTCTTAACTTCCCAATACAGGTCAGGGCAGAAAATTTCCAATGGTGAGGCAGACAGGGCTAGATATTTGTCAGGGCAGTGTGCTCTCCTTCACCCCTGTCAACAGTGTACTCTACAGGCCAGGTGTAAAAGTAGGTATAAATCATAACAGTATACCCTACAGGCCAGGTGTAAAAGTATGTATAATACAGAACAGTGTACCTTACAGGCCAGGTGTAAAAGTAGGTATAATACAGAACAGTGTACCTTACAGGCCAGGTGTAAAAGTAGGTATAATACAGAACAGTGTACCTTACATGCCAGGTGTAAAAATATAATACAGAACAGTGTTACAGGTCAGGTGTAAAAGTAGTGTGAACATTGAACTCTACAGGTCAGGTGTAAAAGTAGATATAATACAGAACAGTACCCTACAGGTCAGGTGTAAAAGTATGTATAATATAGAACAGTGAACCCTACAGGTCAGGTGTTAAAGTAGGTTAATACAGAACAGTTTTAGGTGTAAAAGTATGTATAATACTGAACAGTGAACCCTACAGGTCAGGTGTAAAAGTAGGTATAATATAGAACAGTGAACCCTACAGGTCAGGTGTAAAAGTAGGTATAATACAGAACAGTGTACCCTACAGGTCAGGTGTAAAAGTATGTATAATACTGAACAGTGAACCCTACAGGTCAGGTGTAAAAGTAGGTATAATACAGAACAGTGTACCCTACAGGTCCAAAAAGTATGTATAATATTGAACCCTACCAATTTACAGAACAGTGTACCCTGACAGGTCAGATGTAAAATATATAATATAGAACAGTGAACCCTACAGGTCAGGTGTAAATGTATGTATAATATAGAACAGTGAACCCTACAGGTCAGGTGTAAAAGTAGGTATAATACAGAACTATGTACCCTACAGGCCAGGTGTAAAAGTATGTATAATACAGAACAGTGTACCCTACAGGTCAGGTGTAAAAGTAGGTATAATACAGAACTGTACCCTACAGGTCAGGTGTAAAAGTATGTATAATATAGAACAGTGAACCCTACAGGTCAGGTGTAAAAGTAGATATAATACAGAACAGTGTACCTTACAGGCCAGGTGTAAAAGTAGGTATAATACAGAACAGTGTACCTTACATGCCAGGTGTAAAAGTAGGTATAATACAGAACTGTACCCTACAGGTCAGGTGTAAAAGTATGTATAATACTGAACAGTGAACCCTACAGGTCAGGTGTAAAAGTAGGTATAATACAGAACAGTGTACCCTACAGGTCAGGTGTAAAAGTAGGTATAATACAGAACAGTACCCTACAGGTCAAGTGTAAAAGTAGGTATAATACAGAACAGTGTACCCTACAGGCCAGGTATAAAAGTATGTATAATACAGAACAGTGTACCCTACAGGTCAGGTGTAGAAGTAGGTATAATACAGAACAGAGAACTCTACAGGTCAGGTGTAAAAGTAGGTATAATACAGAACAGAGAACTCTACAGGTCAGGTGTAAAAGTAGGTATAATACAGAACAGTGTACCCTACAGGCCAGGTATAAAAGTATGTATAATACAGAACAGTTCCCTACAGGTCAGGTGTAAAAGTAGGTATAATGAACATTTTGTAAAAGTAGGTGTAATACAGAACAGTGTACTCTACAGGCCAGGTGTAAAAGTAGGTATAATACAGTGTACCCAACAGGCCAGGTGTAAAAGTAGGTATAATACAGTACAACTAGTGTACCCTACAGGTCAGGTGTAAAAGTATGTATAATACAGAACAGTGAACCCTACAGGTCAGGTGTAAAAATAGGTGTAATACAGTACAGTGTACCCTACAGGTCAGGTGTAAAAATAGGTGTAATACAGTACAGTGTACCCTACAGGTCAGGTGTAAAAGTATGTATAATACAGAACAGTGTACCGTACAGGTCAGGTGTAAAAGTAGGTATAATACAGAACATTGAACTCTACAGGTCAGGTGTAAAAGTAGATATAATACAGAACAGTACCCTACAGGTCAGGTGTAAAAGTATGTATAATATAGAACAGTGAACCCTACAGGTCAGGTGTTAAAGTAGGTATAATACAGAACAGTACCCTACAGGTCAGGTGTAAAAGTAGGTATAATACAGAACAGTGTACCCTACAGGTCAGGTGTAAAAGTATGTATAATACTGAACAGTGAACCCTACAGGTCAGATGTAAAAGTAGGTATAATACAGGTCAGATGTAAAAGTATGTATAATATAGAACAGTGAACCCTACAGGTCAGGTGTTAAAGTAGGTATAATACAGAACAGTGTACCCTACAGGTCAGGTGTAAAAGTAGATATAATACAGAACAGTGAACCCTACAGGTCAGGTGTAAAAAGAGGTGTAATACAGTACAGTGTACCCTACAGGTCAGGTGTAAAAGTAGATATAATACAGTACAGTACCCTACAGGTCAGGTGTAAAAGTAGGTATAATACAGAACAGTACCCTACAGGTCAGGTGTAAAAGTAGGTATAATACAGAACAGTGTACCCTACAGGTCAGGTGTAAAAGTAGGTATAATACAGTACAGTGTACCCTACAGGTCAGGTGTAAAAGTAGGTATAATACAGTACAGTGTACCCTACAGGTCAGGTGTAAAAGTAGGTATAATACAGTACAGTGTACCCTACAGGTCAGGTGTAAAAATAGGTGAAATACAGTACAGTGTACCCTACAGGTCAGGTGTAAAAGTAGGTATTATTCAGAACAACTAGTGTATTATATTTGAAAAATTCCATACAATAGCTCCTCATCTTAACTCAGCTCATTACTGATTGATATAAAATCAATTTCAGAGTACGACTGCGGATGTAAAAATGGTGGTCACTGTCACAGAATAACGGGAGAGTGTGTGTGTACTGACGGTTACTCGGGGGAAAAATGTGAAGTGTTTGATTACTGTGGCTTCTACGAAAATGAGAGGAACACACCGGCTTGTGGCTCAGCAGGTAAGATAATCCAAAGGTGGCTCAGCAGGTAAGATAATCCAAAGGTGGCTCAGCAGGTAAGATAATCCAAAGGATAATCCAAAAAAATATCATATGGCTCAATAGGTCTATTATTCCAAAGGAATGTCCTGTATAATAGGCTTGTAGTTCTAGAGGAATGTTCCCCTTATGGACAAGGTGGTAGGTTATTCCAAAGGAATAGAGCCCACCTGGGCACCACCTGGCTAAGTGGATAAATTATTCTAGAGGAATGTACCTCCATTTCGCCTCAGTGGGTAATTAATATTGTAGAGGAACACTCCATTACTTGGCTCAATAAGTCATTTAAAGGGAATGCTTTACTGTGGGCTTGGTGAATATTAGTAATTCCACATAAATTTAACACCACTGTGTGGATTTATATTGAGAAATTATTCTTGAGGAACTAAAAACTAAAAAGGATTTTTTCTTTACACTTTGAAATTAAATTATCAATTTAAGTATTTAAGTGATAATTGACTTACATAAGATTAATTTTTGCTTATTTTACATTAACATATGTACATGTACTCTTTCTATTGTGGCAGTATTATATCTGACAGTAGTCTGATTTCTGTTACAGGGTTCTGTTCTGCGGTTCCGGAGAACACGATTCGTGTTTATGGTGGTGACCAGAGGGGAGACCACTGCATATTTCCCTTCAGTGTGAACGGTCTGTCCTACTCCAAGTGTGTGGAAGACAATACAGTGAGTTTTCTGCTGTTGATAGACGTATAAATCTTTGTGGAATATCTATACATGTGAAAAAACATATTTTTTATATTAAAAACAATATAATGATACTATAAACCAACTTTTATTCAGGACAAACTTATTTCCCGATTAAAGGGGAGTAAAGTAGTTTGCGACAATTTATGTTCTCAATCAAGCAGTTTGGGATCTGTTGTTAATAGACACAGATCAAGATGAGAAATATTAACAATCCTGTGGCTTTCTCGAATCTGTCGAAAATTTCTTGCAAATGAATAAATTTTGGTTTACAGTATTTAAATATAATTTAAATTTTATTTGAATTCATTGATTTAAATGGCACAGTTAGACCATGTTAGGTGTCATCTATAAATTAAACCATATCTTCATCGTAGGTTTTATACTAAAGACGTTTCTTTCTCAGTCAGATCCCCCATTCGCATGTGGTGCTGTGTTTGACGGTTCTCGGGATGGTTACATCGACCTCGGACCCTGGTCCCCGGGACCCCGGTACACGATAGCAGCCTGGGTCAGACCTTCTGTAGCTGATGGGACAAGACGGGTCAGTTATTTATGTCTCATTGTCTTCAAATCATAATCACTGAAAATTAAAAGGAACACAAGGCTTTTGAAATGAAGTTTGAACTTTTGTGTAATCTTATCCAACCACTTTTGTCTGTTTAAAAAAGCAGAGATGTCAGACTGTCAGTGGAGATTAAACTGTCAGTAGACATAATGTAACACATTATACTGTAAAATTACATATTTTCGTGGCTTGAGGATCGAAAATATTTTGGTTCATGGTGATTTGATTTTGTGATGGAAGAATTGTTTAGAAGTAATATATGTAAAAAATTGCATTACATGGTGGACAAAAATTCATGAGTTTCTTGATACCTTGAAAATCACAAAAATTAAACCCTCTTGAAAATTAGTGATTTCACAGTAATCAGCTTTGACAAACTGTCATTGGTGTATCATTATTTTTTTGTCTCTTACAGACTATCATTGGAGGGGTAGCTTCCTGTAAGGATTTTGGAATTTACCACTTTGAGAACTTCTGGATGTACTATAAAGGGAAGAACTGGACGTGTACCAAGGGAGTGGACAGCTTTGTCCCTATCAGGGCGGGGCAGTGGTACCTGGTGGCTGTCAGTAACAATGGGACCCACGTCACGGGGTATACCAACAATCATAGCACCACCGTGGAGGTAAGAACCACAAGAATATAATATACATTAAATACTACCCCAGCACCACCTTAGAGGTAAGATCCACAATAATATAAATACTATCACAGCACCACTGTGGAGGTAAAAACCACATTGTAATGCAATTATTTTGTAAAACACATTTTGAATGGACCATGCACTGATGCTTGAAGCAGTTAAACAAGCATTTATGAGAGTGAAAGGTTTTCATTGGGATGTAATAATAGAGCGATGCAAAAACACAATATGCTTCGTGACTTATATCATATGACGAAACTCAACAGCATAAGCAAACAAAATGCATAGAAATATTGGGGATACCTTTTCAACAGCATCAATATTTTTGTTACCTTGACCTTTTCTTTGACTCTTAATTTCCTTTTTCATTTTAGAGTTATTTAAGCTCTGTTTCAAAGAAACCATTCAAGATATTTATACCCCCCGCAAACGAAGTTTGGGGGGGTATATAGGAATCACCTTGTCCGTCTGTCCGTCTGTCTGTCTGTCTAGCTGTCTGTCTGTCCGTCTGTCCGTCCGTCCGTCTGTCTGTGCAATCGTGTCCGGTCCATATCTTTCTTACAGAGGGACATTAGAATCTACCACTCCACACTAAGATTGCTCATGACCTAAGGGTGTGTCATGACCTTGACCCAAGGTCATTTGGGGAAGTTCAAGGTCACTGAAAGAAAAATTTAATAATTCGTGTCCGGTCCATATCTTTCTTATGGATAAACTTGGTAGGTTCTCATTTCACACAAAGATTGCCCATGACCCAAGGGTGTGTCATGACCTTGACCCAAGGTCATTCAGGGAAGTTCAAGGTCACTGGAAGAAAATTTCATAAATCATGTTTGATACATATCTTTTATAGATAAACTTGGTAGGTTCTCATTTCACCCAAAGATTGCTTATGACCTAAGGGTGTGTCATGACCTTGACCCAAGGTCATTTGAAGAAGTTCAAGGTCGCTGAAAGAAAAGTTTCATTATTCGTGTCCGGTCCATATCTTTCTTATGGATAAACTTGGTAGCTTTTTATTTCACACAGAGATTGCCCATGACCCAAGGGTGTGTCATGACCTTGAACCAAGGTTATTTGGGGAATTTCAAGGTCACTGGAAGAAAAATATCATAATTCGTGTCCGCTCCATATCTTTCTTATGGATAAACTTGGTAGGTTCTTTTTCACAAAGATTGCCCATGACCCAAGGATGTGTCATGACCTTGACCCAAGGTCATTTGGAGAAGTTCAAGGTCACTGGTAGAAAAATTTCATAATTCGTGTCCGCTCCATATCTTTCTTATGGATAAACTTGGTAGGGTTCTCATTTCACTGAAAGATTGCCCATGACCCAAGGGTGTGTCATGACCTTGACCCAAGGTTATTTGGGGAAGTTCAAGGTCACTGGAATAAAAATTTCATAATTCGTGTTTGATACATACATGTATCTTTATTATGGAAAAACTTACTTCTGAAAAACCCAGCGGGGGGTATTTTGTCCCGTTTGGACAGTTCTAGTTTTTTCAAAACTTCATAATTATTCTGATGCATATATATGTCAACTATTCATCAGCATCGACATTTTTTGTCATTGGCTTTTACCTTTCTTTGCTTTATTCAGTGTTTACCTCAGTTTTATAGAAAATATATATTGTTTATAGTCACTTAATTATTAATTATTAAACTAATGAGTTATAAGATGTCCTTTAATTAAGTATAATTTTACTTGCACTAAATGAACATTTGCATTAAATCACAGAATCGAGAACATATATAGAGATGTTTGATGTTGATATCAAGTACTGGATGATTTCCATGTTTATGTTTCATTAATGTAAATAACTCATAATACAGACATGTCATAAGGAATAAACATTTGCTGTTTATTTCATGTACTGGATGACTTTCACTTCCCCTGAATCGAACAGCCCTACCCACAACCTCCCCTCACTGTCCACACTCAGTCCACTAGGATTCTCTAGTCCACAATTATCCACACATCTCAGGAACTGTCCATTCTGATCTAGAATGTGTAGACAGTTATTGAATTGATCAGCAACAATGATGTGACCCATGGAGTCTGTCACTATTTGGTAAGGACAGAATGATTCCTTTCCCCCTGGAGGTTTGTTGTTGTATCTGAATCTGACTTTTCCTGTCCTGTCCACCACTACCACTGTGCTCTAGCATTCTGATCAGAGGCCACTATGTCTCCATTGTTGTTCTCCACCGCATGTACTGCATATTTTCCTCCCTGATAGATTGGATCCCCATGTTCATCTTTATCTATTTCCTGTGTCACTCTCTGTCCCTGATAACGGACTATTTTATAATGACTATCATCAGTAGTACTCAAACTAACGAGGATGTCCCCTGACCTGGTACAGCACAGTTGTAATGGATACCAGCCCCTTGGTGTGGTGATCAGTGTCTCTGTCTTCCCATCTCTGACAATGTTCACAGTTCTATTGCCAGTATCAGTGTATATCAGTTCTCCCTGTCTGGTCACTGTAATGTCACTAGGCAAGTCATAACATGTACTGGTGACAGTGTCTTGTACAACTCCATGTATGTCCACACAGGTTATCATTTTGTCTTCTCCACTAACCCAAGCTTTATCTGATCCTACACAGGCCACTTTATATAACTTTTTAACATTTGTTGGAATTGTTGCAATCACTTTAGCTTCTTCTAATATTTTTTTAACAGATAAAAAGGAGACTTCATCTGTCAGACTGGATAGTAATGTCTGTGTCATTGTAGCCTTGTATTCTCCTAATTCTATGCTGAGTTCTCTCCCTTGGACTGTGTTTGTTTGAAGAGAGGGCAATGGTAAATCAGGTATTTGTGGAATGTTTCTGTATTCCTTCAGTTTAGATTGGTAGTTGTTGACATCAGACACTTTGTTAGACTTCAGGATTTCTTTGTTTTCTTGAACAGTTTGGATCATACTGGAATTCTGATTTCTGAGTTTGGAGTGGCATGATTTAAGAGTTGTAATATGATGATCTCTGAGTGACTGGATCAGGGATTCCATTTTGTTAAAGATGTTGTCCACCTCTAGGTGCCATTGTTTCCTCTGATTTTTAGCTTGTTTCTCAAGTTGTACAAAGTGGGCCATGGATTTGGAAATTTTATTTTCCGCTTCTGTATCCTTTGCTCTGTTTTTGGGAATAATGGCCTCAATTTGTTCAGTTTCTCGTTTAATTTTTTCTCTCACTTTGGTAATTACGTCTGCCATATCTTCAATCATATGACCCCTATGTTGACCAGTGAGACATTTTATGCAGACTGGGACATCACACTGTTGACAGTGGGCCTCACATCTCTGGTGGGAATGAGATGTACACTGAGGGAACACAAGCTGTACTGTACGCTTGGTGAAAGGAACAATGTCATGCTTCATGGACTTGAGGCTCTTGACATGTTTGTTGATGCAGTCTTCACACAGACCGACTTGGCAGCTGTTACAGAATTGCTGGACAGGTTTGGCACAAAGGTCACAGGTTATAAGTTCCTGTGCCTGGCTGGTGGCAGTGGCCATGTTATCTCAAAATACTGACCATACCTGTAAAATATGAATGACTTATATATGGAGAGAAAATTTATTTGATTACATGACACCATATTTTACCTGTTGCTATGCATGTACATAAGCCTTGGAACATTGTCAACTGAACTTAACAGATTTTACCTGACCATAAAATTATTGACCCTTTCCAGAAGTAATTGCTCTGTTTACTTGCCATAAACTACTGTTTACCAACTATTATTCGCGATTCATCAATTTAAAATCAATCCGCGATGATTAATTTCCATGACCGAGGAAACATTCTGTACAAATTCTTAACAAAATGAATGGGTTCCCAGCGATTAATATTCACGAGTTAAAGGAGATCGTGTAACTCTGTGATATTTCTCACTAACGAATAAAAGTTGGTTTACAGTATACTTTGGGTACCTTAGGTTGTAAATAGGCAAAGAAAGGATGAAGTGTTCCTCTCCAAAGGGAGATACTGTAAACCAACTTTTATTCGCCAGTAGTAAACTAGTTCGCGACGATTAATTTTTCGCGATCAAGCCTCTTTTGGAGCTGTTTTTGATAGAAAACCGATTTCAAGGACCCGTTCGCGGCGAGAAATATCGCGATGAGGAGGCTCTTGCAAACCTCGCGAAAATATCTCGCACGTGAATAAAAGTTGGTTTAAAGTAATTAGGAAATATTAAAAACAGAGTGGGGTTATTTTAAAATTTTCTGACGAGGAAGTGATACAGTATACACTGCATGTCTGTCTAAATTATCTGTTCTACAGATCTACATTTCTTCAGCTATGTCAATATGTTGCTGTAATGTTCAGGAATTCATAGTTTAACCCAATCATTTTATTGTAATGAGACCACATTGTTGAACTAATCAGAAAAAAGTCCTCTTGTAGTTTTTGTTCAATTTGTTTACAGTATCATCCGTTAGAAAAAGGTGAAATACATTGTGAAACTCAATGTATTTCTGGACATCTACAAAATTTTTTATCATATATTTTACAATGTGCAAATTTGCTCTAGCTACCAAAATGTCCCCAGAGTTCCATGCAGGTTTCTAAACTTGAATTGCCTTTCTAGTTTGTAAAACCCATTTCTAAATTAAAGTAATCTTAATATTCAATCATAAATAAGTATTTTTACCTAGCCTTTTATCCTGTATTATACATTATTCTGCTGCCTTTCTGTACTTTATCCTGTATTATACATGATTTCTCTGTTCTTCATCAGTAAGAGGTTCAGCCATTCTTTAGTTTTGTTTTGGTGTTTATACTTCCTGGTTCACTGTTGTCATGTGACACCAGGTGTTTCCAGATCACCTGACAAGATTTAAAGGTAAACTGTGTACTGTAGATAGTTGTTTTATGACTGTGCAGATAGTTGAGCTGTGATTGCAGTTCAGAATTAAGGGAATAATATGTCCTAAAAGCATGGCTAGAATTAAAAGCCTAAGGGGGCTTGCTCCTAGTGTGTAATTATAATTTAGTTTTTATTTAAAAAATCATATACATGCAGTAATAAAAAATAGGCCTTTCAACTGCCACTGGGTTCAATGAGAGAACGATATCATTACCAAAACCAAAACAAGGTCTAATCATGACCCCTGGGGGAGGGTGAGGCCACAATGGATGCATATCAAAGTTTTACATAGGAATACATATATAGGAACAATCTTTAAAAAATCTTCTCAAGAACAGCAAATTAAAGCCTAAATGATTGATCATATCTATATGGAATCATTCTCAAGTAGTGTAGATTCAAATTTGTTCAAATCATGACCCCCGAGGGTTAGTTTAAGGGCCACAATTGACAATTTAATTTTACATAGGAATATATCTTTAAAAATCTGCTATATTGGAGGTCAATGTGCTCTTATTCCTTCATTATTCAACCAACTATAAATTCACCTGAACCGAAAGCTCAAGTGAGCTTTACTGATCAAAATTTGTCCGTTGTCTGTTATTGTGTCGTTAACTTCTCACATTTTGATCTTCTTTTCAAGAACCACTGGACCATTTTCAACCAAACTTGCCACAAAGTATCCCTGGGTGAAGGGAATTCAGGTTTTTTCAAATGAAGGGGCACGACCTCTTCCAAGAGGAGATAATTAAGATGAATTAATGGTATCTTTTAAAAATTTTCTCATGTTTATTCACGTTTATTCAAGTGATGACCCCTTGGGCAAGGGTGGGGCCATAATTGGTGATCAGAGTAGGATTACATAAAAAAAATAGTTTAAATCCTATTTTCCAGAAAAGCAAAGTTGTAATTGGTCATAGTTATATGGAAGCATCCTCAAGTAGTGTAGATTCAAGTTTGTTCAAATCATGACCCCCGTGGGTAGAGTGGGGCCACAATGGGTAATCAAGGTTTTTTTCGTATGAATACCTAGGAAAAATCATTAAATTTCTTTTATTCAAAACCATGATTGATCATCAATCAGAAAGCATCAAAAAAGGTAAGTGTAGATTTAAATTTGTTTAAATCAAGACAAATCAGGAGAATAGAGGAGCCATTGAGGTGGATCATAACAAAGGAATATAAAGGTTACTTTAATTAAAATTTTCATTTTATAAACAGCAAAGCTATTATATGTCATATTAATTCAAAAGCATTCATAGGAAGTGTAGATTTAAGTTTGTTCAAATACTAGTATCCCCCTTTCCCGAACCCATTTTTATAATAATTTTAAATTTTTCAACACTGAACTTATTTTTGCTTTGTGGCTCCTGTGCCTCTTGTACCGGTAATACTGGTAATTGTGGGGTAGAAAGCATGGTTTTTCTGAAAAATAGACATTTGTAAGTCTATTAGAGCTTCTTATTCCATAATGATTTTCCTTAAATATTTCTGCTACACCCTCTTAAATTTGGTAAAACAAAAAGGAAAAATTATATAGGGTGAGTTAACCATTCATCGGACACATACCTTGCTTCGGACAACTTTAGGCAATAAACTCTCTTTCAACTTGTGAGTTCCATGTATTTATTTGTTTCTGTCTTGAAGCTGAAGATTTAAATTTTTTGATAATGCCGATTGTTATCACTATGCTGTGATAAAAATACCCCGAGAATGGCCTTGAAGTTACGTCATATTTTACATCACCAAAGGGGGGTAACCAGAAATTTATGATTTTGCAATTTTTAGAGTTATCGTTCTTTAAATTCGACTTCGACGGAACGAGTCGGACTTTGGTGAATTTTGTCAATGATTGGTAATTTTGCATAAATTATAAAGAAATTTCATTTTTAATGTTTCTTTAATTCTAATTAGAGCTGGTTTTTACTAGTATGCTCATTTCACCGTACATCGGACACAAATTAACCATGCATTGGACACTTTCCGATGCAAAGGTAAACACTACCATCTTCATACAGAACCCGAATGACAGCTGTTTCTTGCAGAAATAGAAAATAAAAACTCTATATTTTCAGTCAAAATGTAAGTTATCGATATATGACGTTTAGAATTTGACACATATTTATTTCTCCAAACCAAAGCTATAAACCATGAGAAAAAAAGCGCGAATATTATCGCATTACAAGCATTTTAAAGCAGTTCTTACTAATCTTAGGCAAAGTGAGGTATCTTGAATCGTTCTACATTTGTGCAACGATATCGTCAATTAGATTTAAGTCGATGGTCATTTCTTAGATAAAAGATAAATATAAATCCATATTAATGACTTTAAAGCATTGTGATAAAGGTATGATATTTTTCCGGTCCAAATAACGTCTGTCCGATGCATGGTAAACAATGTCCGATCCATGGTGAATTCTGAGTTATATTTAAAAACTCGATTTTTGAGGATATTTTCTCAATAAAAGGCATGTTTTTGTGTCCCAAATTTAAATATTTTAATCACATTCTAATTGTTAAACTCCATTTTGATAATTATACGCCGGTAGCAATATTGCTATAACTTGTTGAATTACAACGGCGTCCGATGCATGGTGAATTCACCCTAATTACCAGGTTGACCAAAAAGACATCTTCGCTAGCCAAGGGTTTCTGATACGCTACTCTCCTCATAATCCCTTGACATACGGTGCTGATAGCAGTTTTTTTTTTCTCTAGTTCTGATTGGGATTTGGTACGCCTGGTACCAATCAGCCATTGTTTTTTATAAATGACTATATATTTGGTTAAGGATACATCTTGTCTCTTTAATCTCGGGAATGAAAAACGTAAGTAAGCAACGATCCATAAGATAACATGCAATTCTATGAATAACTATGGTGTCATCCAATATCTTCTGAATATGTGATTAAGAATCTATATTGAAGTTTCAGATTTGTACTGTAAATAAAAAAAAACCATAACTCAGTTTTTGTTACATAATTATTTTTGAAAAAAAACTTTGATTTATTTTGTTTTAAAGAAGCACGTCTTTATTTCTATTAATGATGCAATCCGTGCGCACCTGATAGATTTGAGATCACGTGAAGAAAACAATGATCCCATCCTTTAACTTCATTGTATGCCAAAGGTTCATGAGGTGAGTAGTGTATCAGAAACCTTTGGCTAGCAAAAGTGCCAAAAAGATGGCAACCAAGGGAAATAACTTGGAAAGGAAATATGTCAAATGAAAACTATAACAAGGTTATGTGCACCATAATTCAGAGACATTTGATTTATGAATGTCAAATTTTTTTTTATTATGGGACTTGAACAGGTGCATGCATGACTTATGAGTAATGTTTTTTTTAATCCACCAGGTTCGACCTTACTCCCTTCCCACCACACTGGGCTTCTGGATCGGGGGTGAGGACTGTTGTCCCCAGGGGCGATTCCAGGGTATGATCAAGGTAAGTGAGTAATATTAAACACCATCTTACATCAAGTAGTAACCACTTATATGAATGGCAATCATACCTTTCTTTGATTGACTGTAAATGTACTTATCACTTGATTTATTGTCAGTCAGTGAAGATTTGGAAGAGAGCATTACAGTACCAGGAAATCAGCAGAAGTATGAGATTACAGGACACACAGCATTCCACGGTATGTATCATTACAGTACCGAGAAATCAATAGAAGTATGAGATTACAGGACACACAGCATTCCACAGTATGTATCACTTAGTGACCATATCATTCATTATTGGGAATAAAGCATAAAATTCAGACAATAACTAACATATGGCTTAAAGTGACATTAAAGAGTCATTAACCTACATACAGTACACAATGTCAGTCATTTACTGAAATGCTGCATAGTGCATGTAATCAACTGGCATGCAGCATGAAGTGTTTGATCATGACATATACATGTAACACAAAATGTTTTATTATACCTCATATAAATAAACACAAGTAAAGAGGAATCTGATTGGCTGAGGTAGTCACGTGACCATCGTGTTCGCCCTGCAACAAAACTTCGTGTTTCCCGCATTCGGTTCAGCTCGGCTGACTACGCTATCCTACATCTAGATGTAATCAGCCGAGGTGTACAGAACGTGTTTCACGTCGTGTTTCCCGACTGTGACGTCACAATGCAGCAAATGCGATGATTGATACTGTATGCGATTGTTTAAGTCTTTGATTAATTATGTCGATATAAAATCTTAAACTATAGATAATTAGAAAAGTGTTTCCATGAGTGGGGAATGGATGGTACTACACTGCAGTGTGTAAATCAGAATGACTTGTCAGGAAGGTTTTTTTTTTATGAAACGCTAGCGGTGTGACTTACACCTATTGGTTTTTCATATTGTTCTCATCAAATGTTTACTTTATATATTGGATTCCCTTTATATTTTTTGCATTGTGCTTGATTCGGTATAATAAAATAATTATTGCATGAATGTTCGGGAGACATGAAGATTTCTTCGCCCATGAAAAATCGTATTCCCCTCGGGCGTTGCCCTCGGGGAATACGATTTTTCATGGGCGAAGAAATCTTCATGTCTCCCTCACTATCATGCAATAATTGTATAAAGTCATGACTTACAGCAAAAAATGTCAAATTCTGACATACAGCACAAAGTAATTCATTAACAGATTAGTACAACACAAACTGTCAGCACAACAGAAGGAGTTAGGCTTGAATCATTTGTACAGTAAGATTTTTGGTAACAAGTCTAAAGAAGTGCAAAAGTTAAAATTAATTCGTTGAAATTAATATTTTGAGCAGCATAAATTACACTTATACAATACCTATTGAGGAGTGATTTCTAACGTGACACCAAGATGTTTTTTGATGCACTGTTTATAGGTGGAGGCCATGACTGGAGGATTGGTAGGTCACTATGAACTTGGGGAGGACATAAAGCCTTACTGTTTAGGAGTGGACCATGGGGGAGGGGACTGGACCCCACAGGATCAGGAATCTATCTCAGGTAAATACAGGTAACTCTCCTAAACTTAGATCTCTAACTCACAGTATCAGGAATCTATTTTAGGTAAAAATCTGGTAACTCTCCTAAACTTAGATCTCCAACAGGATCAGGATTCTATCTCAGGTAAATACAGGTAACTCTCCTAAACTTAGATCTCTAACCCACAGGATCAGGAATCTATCTCAGGTGAAAACAGGTAACTCTCCAGAACTTAGATCTCTAACTCACAGGATCGGAAATGTATCTCAGGTAAATACAGGTAACTCTCCAAAACTTAGATCTCTAACCCACAGGATCAGGAATTTATCTCAGGTAAATACAAGTAACTCTCCTGAACTAAGATCTCTAACTAACAGGATCAGTAATCTATCTCAGGTAAAATAAAAGTAACTCTACTGAACTTAGATCTCTTACATTATCAGGAATCTATCTCAGGTAAATACAGGTAACTCTCTTAAACTTAGATCTCTAACTCACAGGATCGGGAATGTATCTCAGGTAAATACAGGTAACTCTCCTAAACTTAGATCTCTAACTCACAGGATCAGGAATCTATCTCAGGTAAAAACAGGTAACTCTCCTGAACTAAGATCTCTAATTCACAGGATCGGAAATGTATCTCAGGTAAATACAGGTAACTCTCCTAAACTTAGATCTCTTACTCACAGGATCAGGACTCTATCTCAGGTAAATACAGGTAACTCTCCTAAACTTAGATCTCTAACCCACAGGATCAGGAATCTATCTCAGGTAAATATAGGTAACTCTCCTGAACTAAGATCTCTAACTCACAGGATCAGTAATCTATCTCAGGTAAAAAAAAGTAACTCTCCTGAACTTAGATCTCTTACAGGATCAGGAATCTATCTCAGGTAAAAACAGGTAACTCTCCTGAACCTAGATCTCTAACTCACAGGATCAGGAATGTATCTCAGGTAAATACAAGTAACTCTCCTGAACTTAGATCTCTTACAGGATCAGGAATCTATCTCAGGTAAAAACAGGTAACTCTCCTGAACTTAGATCTCTAACTCACAGGATCGGGAATGTATCTCAGGTAAATACAGGTAACTCTCCTAAACTTAGATCTCTAACTCACAGGATCGGGAATGTATCTCAGGTAAATAGAGGGTAACTCTCCTAAACTTAGATCTCTAACTCACAGGATCAGGAATCTATCTCAGGTAAATACAGGTAACTCTCCTAAACTTAGATCTCTAACCCACAGGATCAGGAATCTATCTTAAGTTAATACAGGTAACTCTCCTTAACTTAGATCTCTAACTCACAGGATCAGGAATCTATCTCAGGTAAATACAGGTAACTCTCCTAAACTTAGATCTCTAACTCACAGGATCAGGAATCTATCTCAGGTAAAAACAGGTAACTCTCGTAAACTTTGATCTCTAACTCACAGGATCAGGAACTCTCCTAAAGATTTGATATCTTGCTCACTGGATCAAAGTATCTCTGTGACTCTCAATCACTCAAGTTCTCATTAATATCGTAGTAACAGCAATGTACATTCACTAAAAAATTATTCTTACTGAGATACCTCAAGAAAGTCTCTTACCAGTTTTTTTTGCTCTGTAAAATTCATTCTCCCCTGTGGCCTCTGACAATAAACTAATAGAAGGGTAACATGACCCTGTGTAAAAATTAATGTAGTGAGTGTCCCTAAAAATTCCTTAAAAAATTCAAATTCCTCTCTTCAGTTCTGACAAAAATTATCTGAGAAATCTCAGATGGATATTCAACTGATATTAATATATATATTTTTGTACAGACCTGTTATTTAGGACTACCCTGTCTGATGTGTTATTTTGTAGGAACTCACTGCAATATCTCCCTGTTCTACATCCCAGCAAAAACTGAAGTAATCGTCACCCCTTACAACACAACAACAAACACAGGAGGCACGCTGATCATCGAGGCCAGGAACATACGTATAGAGGGACTACTGAGTGGGAAAGGATCAGGGTACCGCGGGGGGCGTGTGGATGGGGCAAGCTGTCAGGGAGGAAAACAGGGACAGTCTATCAACGGTCAGTACTGGGTTTCCTTAACTTTAATCCAAAAACTGTCATTATTTCTAAGTAGAAAAAAACATTTGTGTATACATGTAATGAGGCTTCTGATTGGTCAAACTAATTTTAAAAAGCACTTTTAATTAGTATGATTACTTTTAGTAGTTTGGAATCATTGTCCATTAAGTTTGTAGCCTGAGTAATTAAGATTTTGTCATACCGGGAAAGTCACAATGAAAACTTGAATAAATTCTGAAATTCTGCTGTATGATCAAACACAAGTTTTAAATAGCATCCTCTAACTAAGGAGAGTGTTGTAATTAATTGTTCTCTTGCATCATATAATAGATTTGTTAAGAAGATATAAAACTGGTTATAGATAACACATCAGAATTTTTCCTCTTAATTTACAACATAAAAATTAACAAGGTGGATCACCATTATTTATAAAATAAAGGTTAACAAAGAGGATCACTGTTTCTATGGCAGGTCAAGGAGTTGTGGGTATCCATAGCAACATGGGAGGGGGAGGAGGAGGAGCTTCAGGGGGTCAGAGGTCAGATGGCAGAGGTCAGCCAGGAGGAGGAGGGGGCTTTGGAACTGCAGGGTAAGGAGGTACACAGAGAGTAAGGATTTCAGACCCCAGTGATGGCACTCTGGGATTTATTAAAGGAGGAAGGTGAAAATAAATGGTAGGATAAGGAAATATACTGACAGCCAGGATTTCAAATCCTAGCTAGAGCAACTTCAAATATTGGAGGGGTTGGGGGGAAATATTAAAGACTTTAGATTCTTCTACCTTTGCATCTGATTCACTTATATTTTTCCCAGCTACACATGTTTCAGGAAGTCTTCCATATAAGTATACTCACTGATTTAACAACTTGTAGCCTGACTACTGGTATCTATTGTTCTGTAGAGGTAAACCAGCCAAACTAGGAGGAGACGTGTCGGGGTTAGGTGAGGGGGGTAAGGTGTACGGAGACGGAACGATGACCAAGCTGTACATGGGGTCAGGTGGTGGAGCGGGGGGATGTGCCAAGGATGTCACCGTCAACCCACCAGGTATGTACAATCTGTCAACCCACCAGGTACAAAAAAAGTGTAAATCCATCAGAGAACCTCTAACCAGTCAATTTCTCAGATACATCATACATCATACATAGCAATCCCCCAGGGATGAAGTCATTACAGTTTTATGGTTTGTAGGTGGTTATAATTAATTGTGATATAGTAAAATTACTAATGTTTTAATGGTTTGTAGGTGTTTATAATTAACTGATATAATTATACCCCCGCTCCAAAGGAGAGGGGGGTATACTGTTTTACCCTTGTATGTCTGTCTGTCTGAGTGTCCGTGTGTCTGTAGGAAACAAATTTTCGCAGTTTTCTCAGCAACTACTTAATGTAGATGCTTAAAATTTTAACACAATCTTCTCTGAGGCATGCCATATGGTGGGATACATTTTCATTTAAATCCGATGTCAACTTCCTGTTTGTCTGTGCGTCTGTCTGTTTCATACATAACAAATTTTTGTCGCAGTTTTCTTAGCAACTGCTCATCGTAGATGCTTGAAATTTTAACACAATCTTCTCTGAGGCATGCCATATGGTGGGATTTATTTTCGTTTAAATCCGATGTCAACTTTCTGTTTGTCTGTGCGTCTGTCCGTTTCATACATAACAAATCAGCAAATACTCGTCGCAGATGCTTGACATTTTAACACAACTTTCTTTAAGGCATACCATATGGTGGGATTCATTTTTGTTTAAATCCGATGTCAACTTCCTGTTTGTCTGTGCGTCTGTCAGTTTCATACATAACAAATTTTCGTTGCAGTTTTCTCAGCAACTACTCATCGTAGATGCTTGAAATTTTGACACAATCTTTTTTAAGGCATGCCATATTGTGGTATACATTTTTGTTCAAATCAGATGTTAACTTCCTGTTTGTCTGTGCATCTGTCTGTTTCATACATAACAAATTTTCGTCACAGTTTTCTCTGCAACTACTCATTGTAGATGCTTGACATTTTAACACAATCTTCTCTGAAGCATGCCATTAATTGGGATACATTTTTATTTAAATCCGATGTCAACTTCCTGTTTCTTTGTGTGACTGTCCTTTTCATGCATAAAAAATTTTAGTCGCAGTTTTCTCATTAGCTATATTCATAGCAGATGCTTGAAATTTTATTACACTCTTCGTTGAGGCATGCCATATGGTGGGATTAATTTTGATATGAATCTGATGTCAACTTCATATTTTTCTGTGCATCTGCCTTTAATTGAACTTGTGTATATTAACATGATAGTGCTTATTTACATCAGAGCGGGGGTATTGCTAGTGAGCAGTGGCTCACAGATTTTTACTAATGGTTTAATGGTTTGTAGGTGATTATAATTAAATGTGTATAATAAAATTACTAATATTTTAATGGTTTGTAGGTGGTCATGGAGGAGATGGGGGAGGGGCCATTCGTCTGGTGGCTGAGATGAACATCCAGATTACTGGTACACTAGATGTAGAGGGGACCACAGGGGAGGGAGACATTGTCAACAGCCTAAGGTAATGATCTACAGGGGAGGTATAGTCAACGGTTTAAGGTAATGATCATCTACAGGAGATGGAGGTATTGTCAACAGCTTAAGGTAATGATCATCTACAGGGGAGGCATTGTCAACAGCTTAAGGTAATGATCATGTACAGGGGAGGTATTGTCAACAGCTTAAGGTAATGATCATTTACAGGGGAGGGAGATATTGTCAGCAGCTTAAGGTAATGGTCGACAACAGGGCAGGCACTGTAAATAGCTTAAGGTAATGATCATCTACAGGGGAGGGAGGTATTGTCAACAGCTTAAGGTAATGATCATCTACAGGGGAGGTATTGTCAACAGCTTAAGGTTATGATTATTTACAGGGGAGGTAATGTCAACAGCAAATAGGGTAATGATGTACAGAGAAGGGAGACATTGTCAACAGCAGAAGGGAAAAACAACATATAATCTTGATTTTATGCAGAGGGTTATTGTTTGTTTTAAACTCTTATGCTTTATAGTATTAGGTTACACCTACAGTGGAAATATTAGATGCCGAGTTTTTCCCAACTGTTGATTAAGATTTGAAGTAGGAATAAGGGGGCATGTATGAAAAGTTAATGTTTTGGCTCTCTTTGACAAATGATGCAAAATGCTGGTTTTTTTTCTCTAAAAGTAAGTGATGTCTAGATGAAGATGGCCTTAGCTTTACTACTGAGGAAGTTTTAATGTGAGTGTCTTAATGTAATGATGATTATTTTATTGGTCTGTAAAAATGAGTGAATAAGTCATTTCATGATAGATGTAACAATAAAACAGAGTTTTTACATGTCACTGTATTAAAAATTAACTTTTTCTAGCTGTGTAGGCACTTGTCCAGCTTCTTGCAGTTCCCAAAGAGTCCAGGATTGCCATGGTAACAACACCAAAGCATGCTGGGATGATTCTGGACCAGGAGGGGGAGGGAGTGGTGGCAGTGTTCACATCATTGGCAAGGTCGTCAGTCTAGGTCAGTCAAGGTCACTATTGAAATAATCATACTATGACATCACAGAGGATCAAAGGTCAAATAACTTGGCCCTCAGTGAAGCTGTATTTGCTGTCTTTTTCAGCTCCTAATTCAGTGTTAGCCATGGGAGGGGCCGGGGGATTCGGGACCAGACAAGCCTGTGGGGGGCAGGGAGGGATGGGACGTATCAGGGTGGAGGCAGAAATCCTCAAAGGTGGGGTACCACCCTCAGCTGGAGTTGTCACCACCATACAGAGGAAGAGACAGTTTGTTGTA